CTTTCCCTAGCTGCCCAACATGTTTGGTGACCTTCGTTCCACGTTCATTGCGCTGATGATTGGCTCCTATGCTTCCTCTGCTGTGACTTTTCCAGGAATCAAGGTGAGGCTGTGGGATCATGACTCATGACTGGTGATGTTGTGCTGGAGTCTTGCACCATTTAGCAATAATGTGGCAAGAAAGAGGTACTTTGTTAAAGCACTCTTTTAGAGATGTGCCTTTGCAAGATTCAGTTCCCATCTCTGTTAAAGACTTCCCAAGTGACTGCCTCAAGAATTCAATAAATACTGCAGAGAGAACAGTCTGTTCACTAATAAGCAGTAAAATTTTAAAGTTGTTAAGTAAAAGTGAGTAACTGAAGACCTTTACAAAAGGTTGCTTTTTTAAACTCTGAGTGTATATATATGTATTTTTAATACACATGTATGTTTAATCTGTGTGATTGTCACAGATGGTAGGCTTTGAACACTGTTCAGAGCTAGCAAACAGCACTGAGGGCACAGAAGAGAGACTCGCTTGGGCTGCCTTGGTAGATCACTAGTGGTTCTGAACCAGATATGTTTCATTGCAGTGTTAGCATAAGGGGGGTATAGTAAAGGTAAGGCAGTCTCAAGTGTGCAGGGAAGTTCCTGTTGGCTTTCCAAAGAAAAGGTCCTAGATGAAAACTTGGGATGGCAGTCATCTGCAATACAGCTGCATGCTATTCCAGCTGAACATCCTGTTGTTGCTCTAGCTGCTGTTAAAGATGTATGTATACATCTCTTTCTGAGCCTGCATGTTACAGAACTGTTCTTTGTTGCCACTTGAGTTAAACCCACTTTAAATGTAGCATATTTTTCTTTCCCACAGCTTCCTTTCAAACCTCATTCAAAGAATATTGAAGTATCTTTCTGTTCTTATAGCCAAAACCATATTCCCTTGTGATTTCCAGGTTATATATGACTTTGGGGTCTCCTTCATCCTTATTCTGCTTGTCTGGGCAAGCTGTGCAGGACTAGTTTTCCTCAACTGCTTCTTCAATTGGCCACTGGAGCCTTTCCCAGGACCAGAAGACATGGACTATTCGTAAGTGTCCTCTAGACTGGCCTTGAGGGCTAATCCCATTTTTAATCCTCTAGAAAGTGCTGGCACAGTTAAATTAGACGAGTGGACAGGGAACTCCCTTGTGTGTTGTCTATTGCTGCCATTCCTTCTTAGGTTGAGGATTTATGTCTGCCATTAGTGTTAATGTCTTGACTGGTGAGTATCTGTGGAAAGTTGAACTTTCCAAAGCGTAGGAATCATGAAAGAAAATGATCTGTCAGTAGTCATAAGTATTTCTATATTGACCTGTGCCAAATTGGCCTGGGGAAGAATCTCTCTGTGCTCTGGATCCAGACCACTTGTGGGTTTGTAGGTGGAAGCTAGTGCCTTCAATCCATACATAGCCTCTCTGACTCCTGCAACTTTGTTGCCTCTGATTTCCCACCCTGTGTTGCAGCTCTCATGCTCTTTACTGCCCAACAGGGTGAAAATAAAGTTCAGCTGGCTGGGATTTGACCACAAAATCACTGGGAAGCAGTTTTACAAGCAAGTAACGACTGTGGGGCGCCGTCTCAGTGTGGGGAGCTCCATGAAGGGCCCCAAGGAGCCAACAGCCTTGCAAGAGAACAACAAGCTCTGTCTGTCTACGGTGGACCTAGAAGTGAAGTGCCAACCTGACAATGCAGGTGTGGTTCCATGAGTGCCCCAGGGATGCTTGTGCTGGCAAAAGGCTGTCGGCCTCTCTGCTCTGCTCCAGACCTGTTTATAAGAGAGTGATACACGATCCATGTGTTGCCAGGGCCACGTGCCAGCCACCATTATTTAAATACAAGTTCAGTTACATAAGGAATCCTGTCCTTGTATACTTGTCTAAATATACCATGTGCTGTTGCCAGTGGTGGGGACAACAGCATGGTTAACTGGTGTGGCTGCAGAAGGACAGTGCAGTTGGTCACTGCTGTCTCTTGGGTAGACTGTTGCCATCATGACCAAGCCGCCCTTACTCATGGTTATGGCAAAAGCAAATGGTTTGAAGCTTCCTTTTGCTCTAATCCACAGAATTAGGTGAGTCTTCCTTCACACTCCCTTGCCTCGGTTACTGGTAGCCAAACTCTAAGCATCTATAGCTGTTCATTATGGAAGTCTGTAAGGCACCAGGTAGTTGCTAACTGTGAACTCCTTGGAGCTACCATTGGCACGCAGTGTTGGAATGACCAGCTAGGAGAAGACCTACTAACCCAGATGAAAGCCTCTTCTGAAACTGTACATGTTTACAAAGTTATGTTGCCTCCTTCAGGGACTCTATTATTCCTTCTGCAGCTTCTCCCTCCTTCATGAAGAGTGTCTTCAGTCCTATCTTGCTGCTCAGCCTTATCACCATGTGTGTCACTCAGCTGCGGCTCATCTTCTACATGGGGGCCATGAATACCATCCTTGAGTTTCTGTCTGGAGATGAAGATCAAGGTAGGGTAACCTGAAGACCTTTATCTGCTTCCTTGGAACTGGTACCTGGCCCAGACTTGGTCCTCGCAAGAGGCCAGCGAGCCTGATTACTCAGCAGATACACCGTGTATGGCAATTAGTGGTGTCAGAGTGTGGCTGACAGCTGCTGGTGGGGTCTAGTGGAGGGCTGGAACTGACCCAGGACAGAGGGGCAGCGAGGCAGACACTTGAATGTCAAGCTAATTTTAACCCAGTATCTGTTAAATACTATTCCATGTTATTTCCCCAGATGGGTTGTTGAAAGTAGCCTCTTAGGATGGACTGTGATAGTTTTTTTTTCTAATTGGAAAACCTATTTTATCAGGTATTTGCTTTGCTTATCCTGAGCAAGCACAAAGTACAGAGCAGCTGACTCTCATGACTAATGGTTGGACTAGGTGTCTCAGCCCAGCAACTGGGGGTGGGAGAAGTGAAGTCATAGCTGTTTTGTGCAGCTTGGTGTGTGCCGGGGAGGCTCAGGGGTGCTCACTGTGCTGGACTCGTCTGTATTTATAGCTCTGATTCAGTACATGGAGCAAACAGGAAAGAGTACGTTAGTTTACAGTTGTTGAAAATACCCAGGATTGCAAAACAAGACTTAGCCTTTTTTTTTTGTCCTTTGTAGTAAGATCCAGTTTGAACTTGTTAAATCTGGATTGCATGAAGCTGATAAATCGAGAGGCACTCCTCTGAAAACAGGAGTGAGCTCTGGGGGAGGGAACTGAGGAAACTCCAAGTGCCCTGGCATTCCCTGAATTGCTTTGTTTCTGGAGCCTTTGACAGCCTGCAGCATTCAGCTCGTTATCTCCTGGCTCAACAGCCAGTTTAGACATTAAACAGTAAACAGGACAAACTTCACACTGCCTACCTTTCCCAGCAGTGCTTAGTTTTCTGCTTACCTTGTAACTCTTTCATGCTGAATTTTTTTCTTTCTTTTTACTCTGGCTTCCTCTAGTTACTTCTCTTTCATTTTTTCCTCTCCTCCCCTCCTTGGTATTTTAGAATTAACGTTAACTATATATGCTGCCAATTCTGTTTACATCAAGCTCCATGTTAAAAAAGGGATTGTGCCCCTTGGGTGTATTGTGTTTTTTCTGTGCCACCTTTGAGATTTCTTCCCATTTTCCCTCTCCTCCCCCTGAATGTAGCCTGGGCTTGCAATGCAGTCCGCTTACTGTCTTGGTGTTTCCATGGCATCAGCAAAACAGTGGTATTGTCTAGTCGCAGCAGCGTCAGGCTGCAAGAGCAATTCCAAGATGTGTGCAGCTCTCTAGAAATGTAATCTGTGCAGATCAGGAGAGGATGGGATGCTGCTCCCTTGGATTCCTCATTCTTCTTGCAGAGTTATTTACTTGCATGTGATTTGTTTAGAGAGCTCCCTCCACCTGCAACCTCCTCCTCCTCTTAGGAGCATTCAGCAAGAGAAGAGGAGAGTTGAGTCAATCCTGCAAGTGTTATGGTCAAAGAAAACTTAAATATTCCTGGGAGCAGAACAGGAGAGAAGGATGTGGGGAAAATCATTCAGATAGGGAGTAAAGTCTTTAATTTGCAGTGAGGTACTTCAGGTACTTGTACTGAGGTCCTTGAAAGTCCTGCTTCCTGTGCAGATTATGGTGACTTAGACCTGGTGGGAAAAAGCAGTCAGCCTGTGGCTACTTACCTTCTGAAAACCTCCAAAAATTGGGGGACAAGCTAAGGGGTTGAGTAGCTCTGTAAATGACTCTGTAATTGTGTTGTAGGAAGGCAGGAGAGAGTACGCTTGTATCTAGAACTTGAAATTTGGCTGCATCTTTTTTAAACCAGCACCTTGCTTTCAAATGTGGTAATAATACTTGGAGACCTTGGATAGAATCAGGGTTGGCTGGAAAACTCAGCTGTATGAGGTGCTTGCTCAGGATAGTTTTGAGGGGAAAAAACATGTGGAGCAGTGGATGTGAAGAGTCATGCTGTTGTATGTGCCCTTTGTCTGTTTGGTCTATCCAGGCTTCTGCTTCTGCCATATCTACTTCTGCTGGTATTTGCTAGGTATTGTGTTTTTGGTTTTTTTTTCCTCCTCCTCAGGAAAGGATGTTTAAGATGATAAATTGAGGAGGCCCTGTTTTGTAGCAGCTACTGTCCCTGTCTCCTCTTCTCTTGATGCCATAAATTTCTTTCTCTGCTTCAAGTTAGCTTCTGCTCTTGCTGTTTAGAGCCCCAGATTAAGTGTTCAGAATAGCATGAAGGGGCAAAACATGACAACATGGCTTGCTTCTTACCCTCTATCAAAAAATAACCAGACAATATCAAATCAACTCCAGGAGAGTCTGTAGAGGGTGATGCCACCTGTCTCTCTTGCCTACAGTTATAGCAGTTGCTATAATGAGATGGGATGTGGGGCCACTTCAGGTCTTGCCTTGCAGAGGTAACGGGGACATGAATGTGAGTTTGGAGGCTGGAGCTGGAAGTTCCTCTTGGTTCCCTTGCTGGCAACTGGAGCCGGCAAAAGTATCATCAGGTGCCATGCCTGGGCACAGCAAGGCAGCCCTGCTGGGGTTTGCTACAACTGTATAGGAGAGAAGGGCTTGTTGGAAGCTTTTCTCCATTACCAAGTTGATTTTGGTATACGTCCTGGCTGATCTAGCTTTGGCTAGACCTAGAAATGCATTAGGAGGGACAAACTAAAATTCTTTTTGGTTGTTTTGCTTACAGTGCTGTAACTTGTAAGCACTCTGTGCTGAGATGGGCAGTTTCAGAATTACATCCTTATTTCAGAGCTGTGGTACACCGTGACTCACCAGCCCTTCTGCATGATGCCTACAAATCCGTCACGTGGGCTGCAGAGAGGAAATGGAAAAAGCACTGTGGGGTGGGGGAACTGTTCAGTAACAGGAGGAGGCAGTTTCTTCTAAGTCTGCTGGCATCAGCTTTCCCTTAGCAAGCCATGTAGACACTTCTCCCATCTTTAACACATGGGGAATTTTCATCAGTTTGAGGTTTTTAATGATTGCTCTGAGATGCTGTGGTTTTTGCTTCCAGTTTCTGCACCGTCTGCCTCCAAACTTGTCCATTTTGCACAAAATGGGTTAGTCTTCACCTTCCTAGCCTGGCTTGTCCTTGCTGAAGCTTCTCAGCTGGGAAAGGTGCAGCTGGAGCTTCCAGCAAGGCAGGAGAGAAATGACTAAGGCAGGGTTTGCTGTGAAGGATGTATTGCTTGTAAGAACTTTTCGTGTTGATCCTAGCCAGAAGAAACCTTATGGGCACTAAACAGTTGTTGGGCCCCATTCCTGGAGCCCTACTTGCTGTTGGGCTGATCCTGCTCAGAATACTAGGATCAGAATGGTTAAAGCACGTGTGCCCGGTGTGTCCACTCTAATGTCATGCCTCTGGGAGGCTAAATGATGAAGTAGGGCTTTGGTGTTCCAGCTCCTTCAGCCCTGCCTGTGTGTATGCAGAATCTGGGCTCTTAATGGAAGAGCTATCAATGGGGAGGAACAGTTTCTTTCCTGTCTTTTTTTCTGTTGCTGCTATAGTACCACTTGGACTGACAACTTTTTAAATTTTTTTTTCCCTGCAGTGGCTCTCTACACTTCCATTTTTGGGGTATTGCAACTGTTGTGTTTGCTGACAGCGCCTGTGATCGGGTACATCATGGATTGGCGACTGAAAGAATGCGATGATGGCTTAGAGAACGAGGAGAACAACGCTGAGCAGTGCGTAGTGGTGCACCACACGGGACATACATCCACATAGCAGGCCCCCTCTGCTCTGCATGATGTGTTTTATGATGAAAGACTGAAAAGAATATTGGTTCTTCAGTATAGAAAAGGAAGCCTGAAGGAAGATTTGATAATTGCAGAGGAAAGGACCAAACTATCTTCCATGTCCACTAAGATCAGTCAAGAAGAGCAAATCTAAATTGTAGCAGGGGAGGCTCAGACTTCCCTTCTAGCCTAACAGTAAGAGTAACAGCACTGAAATAATTGCCCAGATGTTCCTCAGCTTCCACTGATGGAGATTCCACCACTTCCTTAGGCAGACCTCTAGCCAAACTGGTTTAGATAGGAGTTGATATGTGATATGTGGAGAATCTTGCTGTGAGTTCCAGAAGCTGCTGAAAGTGCTTTTTGTAACATAGGTTTTGCTATCCTTCCAGAAGTGACAAGAAAAAGAAAAAACGTGATCGTCAGATCCAGAAAGTCACCAATGCCACCAATGCCTTTGTATTCACAAATGTGCTGCTGGTTGGATTTGGAATCACTTGCCTTATTCCTAATCTACCGTTGCAGGTGAATAGGTCAAATGGGTGGGTGTGCTGGAGTGTTGGCAGCGTGGGTCCTGACACAATAACAGGCATGACAGTGCCAGGAGGGTCCTGTAAGCCAGCAGAACCAGGCTAGTGGCAGGAGGGCTTTCTGGCACTGCTGGGAGGCTTCTGTACTGCTTTGGGAACCCCAGTCTTAAGCTGAAACAAGTAATACCATGCAGTTTACATCTCTCTCAAGAGAGAACTTAGAAGCAGCTATAGTTAAAATGTCAGAGTTTATCCACAATTTATTCAAACTTAGAAGTTTCTGCAGCTGAGCTATGTAACAACAAATGCTTTCCTACCGAGATCCTCTCAGCAGTGCCTGTGCATTTAACCTGGGCTTGATTTAAGCTGCTGAGAAGTTGCTACAAGAAGCATGGCACTGAGAGAGAGAGAGAGAGAGAGATATCTCTCTATCAGGTTATTTCTGCATCAAATGCTATGCCCAATGGTACCTGTGGGATTATAAACCTGTTAAAATATTTATTTTGTGGCACCAGGTTGTTTTTGGCAAGGAGTTTAGTGATTTTTTGCTATACTTAAACATGCCTTGATGACATAGGCAAACAGATATAGTTTGCTCAGACTTGCATATTGTCCACAATAACTTGTAGAAAATCAACTAAATAGGCCACAAGCATAACAAAAAAGCACTGTGACCCTGGCCACAGTTTGGGGACATGTCCTTGCAGCGGTGCCATCTACAAATGAGATAGGTCTTGTGTGTGGTTAACCTCAGGGAGCACTACAGGTTAGCCTTTGCAAAGTAAGGAAAAGCAGAGCTTTTAGAGATTAATGCAAATCGTTTCCATTGTGCAGACCTTTCAGTTCTGGTTCCTCAAGCCCAGCTTTGTAACTAGAAAGGAGAAGAGCTTTTAGGAGTGGTTGTATGTTAGGGTCTGGCACACCTAGGTGGTATCTAGGATGTGACATTTTTCTACTTTTCTTTCCAGATTCTTTCCTTCATTTTGCACACAATTGTGAGAGGATTCATCCACTCAGCTGTGGGAGGCCTCTATGCAGCTGTGTAAGTCTCTGCTTACCTATAATATGTGACTGGCCAGATAAACTGGTTTGGGATGATAAGCTGTGCAGATGAGAGGGAGATCAGGAAGGAAAGTCAGTCTGATCATGGTCAGAGGGGGGAAAATGATGCAACTTGTTTCCTCAGTCACCACTGGATATGATGGTAGCTGGACTTAAGTCCTAGCTGATGCTTTCCTTCTTTAGAAACAGCGAACCCCTTTGGCATAGCTACTGCAATGAGACAGGCACAGCTATATGTGAGCCTCAGGTGAGACTAGGCTATTGACACTAAGGTTGTATAGGAAAAACTCAAGGCTTTTTTTCTCTTATAATGAGTAGTTATGTGCATGTGTCCAGGTAAAACATTAATGTAATTGAATACATTGCTACTGGTCTGCTCTGAAAGACATTGGTAGAGCATTGCTCAAGATACCATTAGTAATGCCTACTCCCTTTCCTGGGACAGATCATCCATCCTGTTTCCAACTTATCAAAATTATCAATAGCTTAACCTGAATATTCTCTTCCTTATTAAGCAATGTTTCTGCTTTTGAAAACAGATCTGACCCTCTGTCCTGAGCTGTTGGACAGAGGAACAAAAGGAAGCTGTTATTTTTCAGAGAATCGCAGAATCGTTGAGGTGGGAAGGGACCTCAATCGTTGAGACCATCTAGTCCAACCCTCATGCTCAAGCAGGGTCAGCTAGAGCAGGTTGCCCAGGACTGCATCCGGTTGGGTTTTGAATATCTCCACGGATGGAGACTCCACACCTCCACAGACTCCTGTCAAAGGTTTTGGTCCCAGTGTCTGGGGAATCCAGACTAGAAAACCCATCTAAGACTCTGCTTCAAAAATGCATAAGCTTTTGGTTCCCTGGCAGCTAGAAGCAGAAGATTTTTGTCTTAGGCAAGGTAAATGCCCGTTGCTGTACATATCAACTTGCTTGTAAACTAATCCTGTTTGACCACTGTAACTCTCTGGAACTTCGTGGAGTGAGGTATTTTTGCTTTGAATGTGACTTCTTTGAATATGAAGGTTTTGATCCATTTCTTTCTTTCCAAGCTTAGTTTAACCTGACCCTTTTTAAGCGCTGCTCAGTCATGGAAAGAGAAAGATGTTAGACTCTTCCCGAAATTTATTTTTCCATTAGTAGTATCTGATATTCAGCACTTTCCAATCTACAGTATTGTTTAGTTTGACATGGGATCAGACTTGTCCTCTAAAAAGGAAAACAAAATACTAACCTGTTGTGCAGGTTTCACTCACTTCTAAAGGGAGCAAATTGTTATGACCAGATGAAAATGATTGCTCAGCCGCAAATGCTGTCATCTGGATAAAGAGGCCCTGCTTTTAACTTGTAAATATCAACACTCTTCTCCCTCTGCAATAGGAACAGCAGTTGTATAAGCACTTCCACCTGCCTATGGTACAGCTGCAAAACAAGTGCTGGATCTGATACTACTTAAGTTTGAGAGCTCAGGATGAGAGTAGTCTTGTCACCAGCTGCGTTCTGCTCTAGAGAGCACTGTGCACACCATCGGGTATAACTCAGTACTCTATAAAAAGAGGTAGTTATAGAAGTTCTTCATATTATGCCTGTCTTGGGACTGTGCTCTGTTGTGTTAGTCGATTGGGAACATAATCTGATCTGGGTGATGTGAACAGCCAAGATGACATATAATAATGCTGTTGCTTTCTCTGTTGACAGATACCCCTCTACTCAGTTTGGCAGCTTGACAGGGTTGCAGTCGTTGATCAGTGCCCTTTTTGCCCTTCTGCAGCAGCCTCTTTTTATGGCATTGACAGGACCTTTGGAAGGAGACCCTCTTTGGGCAAGTTCTTCTCAAATTTCATGTGAAGTCTTGGTGGTTAAGATAATTTTGGCTCATTTCTTTCAAAACAAAAGGACTCCTGTGCATGGACCAAGGTTAAAAACAGCTGGAATTTTGCATGTCCCTCAGTCTGCTGTTACTTTGGTGCTGTCCAGGAGACCCCTCCCTGTGTAATGGTTTCCTGGGACGGAAAGCCACTAAGGGAGAAGGCTGTGCAAGTGCTTCCTGCTAACGTTTTGTGTGGCGAGTCAAAATCTGTCAGGTAAAAGTGAGTGAGTCTATGTGGACCTCAAAATGCAGTAGTAATACTCTGTTCCCCTGAGAGCTATTAGCTCTGATTACCAGTACGTTTTTGGTTTGCCGATGCTAATGTCCAAAAAGCTGAGTGGCTTTTGAGGGTAGGGCTAATGTGGTGTCTTGATGTGAGTCTGCCTGGGCAGCTCATTAAAATCATGACATGGGTGATTCCTGGGGAAGAGTCCTGGTCTCTAGGTTACAGGTGCCAACCCCAGCAGCCTGTGGCTCTTCAGTTGGCAAACTTGGTGTAAAAGAACTGCAGCTTAAACAGCCCTCCCTGTTCTATGGAACAAGACACCCACAGCTGTGATCCAGAGCAACAAATTCTTGCAGCATTTAGGTTATACACGTGGTGCTCAGGGCACAGGAGTGTAAATATAAATACAGTGAAGGTTGTTGCCAATACACAGAGCAGGGCGTCTCCTGGTTTGCCCGCAGCTGAATGACGTGGGCTGGGTTCTGACACTTTGTCATGCGTCACTGGGTTGTCGTCTTCCTAGCCTGCCTAATTTTGTTTTGTCTTTCTTACTGCAGGTGAATGTTGGCTTGCTTGGTGTGAGCTTGCTGGGTTTCTGCCTTCCAATCTACCTGGTCTGCTATAGACGGAGGCTAGAGAGAGAAAAAAACCAGAAGATGGATGATGCCAAACTCTTCCTCAAAATCAACGGCACTCCCAATGAGGAAGCCTTTGTTTAAACTGGTGCTTGAAATACAACCTCCCCTGTACAGGTTCCTACCACATCCGTGGGTTCTACCTGTGGTGTAAGCCAGGTTTTTTCTCTCCTGGCTCTGCCAGTCTTTGCTCATCATTGGAGTGGGGGCCCAACATCATGACTGAGCTTTCCTCAGATATACGGCAGGAGACTTCCCACTCCTTACTCCAGGACACGGGATGCTTTTCCTTTTTATAAAGGTCATGCAGATATTGTGTTGTAAATTATCCCCTGATCACACTCTCCAGCAGCAGAATATCTGCATAGGAACTTGGGGAGAGAAGGAATAGAGGGATGGGGGAAGAGGGAAGAAAGACTGTAATTTCAGTTTGCAAATGTAACACACTGAAGTTTGTTTCCTCACCCTCTTCCCCCAACCTTGGCTGATGTTCTCAGATGCAAGCTGCACTCCCCTCTCCCTGAGGCTTTATAATGGTCTTTATGCTTGAAATGTAGCTGGACCCAATGGTTTTACTGTCTATCCAGACATACCCCAGACTGTTCCTGAGGCAGGGAAGGGGCTTTTATTCCTATATGTGTGAACACAGCTTCAGTGTCTTGCTAAATGTTGGCTGCTAGCACTGACAGCTCCCAAACCTTTTATTACTGCAAATGACACGGACTGTGAGAATGGATCTGCCTTTCACACTGAAATGAAGAGCCTAGTGGATTGCTTGGTCCTAGACCAAGCCTTCAAAGACCTGGAAGTCCTCCTCTTCCCAGCCCACAAACCACCTGTATGTGTTTTAAACTGTCTGCAGTCCTGGAACCTTTGAGATAGGAATTGGATCTTGTTTACCAATGAAGTGCTTTGAGACTTGTTGCCTTCTGCCTCCTCTTCCCTCCGACATGACCCTGGGAAGGGAGCAGCAGCACGTATTTAGTGGAGTAGAGAAGCTCCTTGAAGCAGCGTCCTGGGGCTCCAAATACCTTGGTGTTCACATGCCGTGAGCTGACTTGCTGTTGAAAAGGATCAAGAGTGCAGAATGCTCCTTTGTGTCTGGTAACTGGTTCCTGTGGACACATGGTAGGGTGATGTGGTGATGTAATTCTTCCTTTAGCCATAGCTTATTTACATTGTTCTGATAGTAGCCCCCAAGCTGCTGAACACCAGGTTACTGTGACTGACCAAAAAGCTGCCGGTTTGGCTGTATTAAGAGCCTTCTACGATGTTGATGCTCTGTCTGGACAGAGTACGTGGTGATTGATTGTATGGTGAAGCTGACTTAGAGCAATATATGTGGGTAAAGGTGGCCCAGGCCTGTTCACCATGGAGGGAATACAAAGGGAATTCTTATCTTGCTTGTTTTTATAGAGGTTTTCTTAAGTATTGTCTAAAGTTGACTTTTCTGCCCTTAACCTTCTTGTTGAGGTTGGAAGCTCAGCCTCTGTAGCCTTGTGACTCGTGTTAGCCACTGTACCATTTGGACCTGCTCGGAGCAGGACCATGCAGCGTTAAGGATGAATGCCAGCAGGTGTGCAGCCGCAAACGCGCTGGGCTAGGCTGAGCTAGTGGCTGCGGGAAGGTTGGGGGTAGAAATTTATGAAAATGTAGTGCTGGTGCTTTCTGAACTGCCAGCTCCTGCATTACTGCAAGGCCTGGCAGGGGGGTAAGTCATTCAACTTCATGTCTGGTGGGAAAAGTACAAAATGCAATCACTGCTCCCTTAGCTCTAAGCTGGGGATTAAACAATGGCGTGCCGGGACCTTCCTTTGAGGAATGACCTGGAAACGGTGTTAACTCCTTTACTGGTGGTTCGAAGCATGCAGATGCTCGGCCCAGCCAGGCCTTCACCTTCCCTAAATAGCAAGCTTGGTGACCTCCCGCAGGATGGCTGGAAGCCCTGCAGGGTCCTTCGCTGGTGGCCTTGCCAGCATGGGATGACAAGGCAGCTTCGTGGGACAGCAGCGCCATCTCGAGTCCCTGCCTCCAGCCAGCCTCCTGCGGGCAGTTCAGCTGCTGCTCCACTCCATGGTACCTTTTAGTCTTCAGTCACCTATTTGGAAGTGACGCGCCACTTGAGTATTTTACGTATTTGTAGTTTTTTTTTAAATGTGTTGCCTTTATTAAATGTGCTTGTTCCAAGACAGCCTTATTGCCTGCTGTCAATGCTTGATTCTTCTAGAACTTTTTGTCTTTTGTTAGCCTCTAGCTTTGGTGATGATCCTGCAATCTTCCCAGCTTTTCTTTTGTGTTGAGCAATAATTAAGGAGGCAGAGTTTTGATTTGTTTTCCTCTTCACCTGACATTGTCTTAAGTAGATGTTCAGAGACCCACCAGCAGTAGTTCAGCTTGCCTAGATTTCCAGAGGGCTTTCTGCAGATTTCTGTGTTCCATATTACTATAATTACTTCTAAATATTTTGAGAAGATTCCTACTCTTGCTCTGACATATTTGTGACATGGCAATGACAGATTAAGTATATTTTTTTTTTAGTATGAGCTCAGGTGAGTGTTGGAGCCATAGTCCTCAGACTCATGGTATCTTAAAACAGAGGCGGCTGTTAGAGGGTGTTGGTGTGCTAATTCAGCATTACTTCCACCTCAGTTTCAGAATATTGAACGTGATAGCTTCCACTGTTAATGTCGCTCGACTTCATGATATAAATGTCTTTGCAAAATGGTGGAATACAGAGTGGTATATTTTCACAAACTCAGAGTGGAGATGCTGCTGCCTCTGAAGTATGTGCAGCTAAATTAAACAAAGAACACCCTTTTATTCCTACCATCTACCTCCCTACTGCAGTTCCTTGTTCCTGCCCTCTATTAGGAATACCCTCTTAACACAGTTTCATCTGATAAAATGGTGGATATATGTGCTTACAGTCTCTGCTGATGTGCCATGGTGTTTCGAAGCTGCTGGTCAGCTGTGAGGAAGAGAGCTTATGCCTTTGAGTCACAGTTTCAGGCTCTGTTTGCAGCCTGAGAGTAAAGGGTGCCTTTGGCTTGCAATCACAAGGACTAGTGGGTACACAATGAAGTTTCAGTTGTTTGGGATTGAACGGACAGATGGGCGCGCTTTCTCATGCAGCGCAAAGCCAAACTGTGGAATTAATTGCTGCAGAATGTACTGGGGAACAGAAGTATAAATGTTTTTTTAAAAAGGGGCTGGTTAAACAATGGTCTGATGCATCCACTAACTCAGGGAGATTTTAAGTTGCTGTAAATAAGAAAATTATGCTGAGGAAAGATGACTTTTCTATGTGCTCTTAAGAATTGGTCAAAGATGGAGACAATATATGCTAGGCTAGGTGAAACACTTGTCTGATCTTGTGGGGTTTAGTTTACTCCAACAATTGTGAACCAAACTAATTTTAAAAGCAGTCTCAAATTTATCTATCAAAAAAACTGTATCTGCATGTAAGATGTGCAAATACTTTACTGATTGTGGCATAACTGCTTAAATGCTGTGCCTCCTGCAGGGGTGAGCCCCTCAGGACAGAGTATTCTGGTTTCAGCTTCTTCTAAATGTGGTCTTGCACGGTCCAAAAACAAACACTGTTGGGATGGTCCTGTTATACATGATTGTTCATGGTCAGTTTGCCTTATGGATGCTTATGGAAATGTATTACTTACATTTGGAATGGAAAACAGCATTGCTACTTTCTAGCCAAGTGATGCAGGACCAAGAAAACTCCTCATGCACTCTTCTGTGTGTGAGCCACCTTGTGGAAAAAAATAATGGGCTACTAAAGGCTAGAGTGCCACATCAATTTAAATCAATAATACATTTACCTGTAGAACTCAAATACAGGTCAATGTGTTTTAACTGCTTTCATAATTCATAAATGCTAGAATTTGTAGGGTTGGGTTTTTTTAATGCCCTTTGTACCCCCTTACCCTCATCCATGTGAGAAGCACAAGGAGGGTGGTCATGGGAATGACTTCATCTCTGCCATAGAAGCATCCTGAACTGAATGTAATGAAGCAGAAACCTGATCTGTGAGTACTTCCTTTTTGTAGGAGCCCTCAGAGCCAAGGGTGTTGCTGTCTAAAGGTGATTACACCTTCTGGAAATGCTGCTCCTGGCCTCTACAGACTCACATGCATTTAATATGCATCCATATATTAAAAAAAAAAAAATTAAATTAATGGAGTGGGGAAGGGCGGGTGACAGCTTTTTCCTTTCACTAATCTGTCAGTACCTAAGCCCCATCAACAGAGTCTTTATAGCACTAATGCAATGATGCTATCAAGAGTAGCCGAGAAAATCTCTGCTGTTTTGCTTAATAGGATACTTACAACTTTATTCAGTTACTGTCACAGAGTATTTGTATCCTTGAGATGAAACTGGACACAGATGTCTGCAAAAAAATATTGCTGAGACTCCAACTTAACTGCAATGCTGCTACAGCGATTAAAATATTCAGCTCCCACAACAAAGCCTGGCCTTTTCATGGTTTGTCTACAAAGGAAAATTGTATGAGATTTTAACTAAGACAGTAAATCACTAAAGTGTTTTAAAGTAGGAGACTTCCCTCTTGGCAGGCTGATTATTTTGTGGCATCTTTTCCAAATTATAAAGCGGATACTGTAGGATAAAAAGAATGAAATCTTTAAAACTGCAGGGTTTTTTTTTCCCCTTTGAGTCTTCTTTGCATGTGCAGAGCTTTTGATTCTCCCTACTTCCCAGTACAAAGTATTCATAATGGAAACTAGTACTACAGTAAGATTTGTGATGGGATGGGACTGTGTTTTGGTTTTGTTTTTTAAAAAGCAAGCCACTTCTGATTTGTATTTCATACTTATCTTCTCTGGAATAGCTGAAACACTGCTGTTATGTAGATGCATTCTTACGTGTTAATTATAAACCCTACAGCTCCTTGGTTTTCTACCTGTGCTGCCCAGCTTGTCTCTGCACAATGTTTTTGTCAGGTGTCCTGTGCTCCACGTTGTCATCCTTCCTACTGCTGCTTGTCCGTTCCTTATGCCTGACCCTCTGTCACTTGCTTTTTATTCTTGGGACAATCCCCTTTTTCAGAAAGCTCCCTCTTTTTAACCCGACAGCATTATTAACCTCCCCTACCTCCTCCTGTTCACAAAAAATTTTTGTAGTGTTTGTCAAGGTTGCATTGTAAACTCCTTATGGCAGACCTGTGTCATCTTTTCTGTGTTTGTAAGGTGATGTGGATTCTTGCAGTACTATCTAAAAATAAATGTGGTATTAAGTTAATCATTAGTTTTCTGTTTGAGGCTGAACATAATAAAGGTATTGCTTTGTTCCTAACGAGACTATGTAAATGTTTTACACACTGTCATCTGCCACATTGCCTGGCTGCACATTGAAGGTTTTCTTGACTCTGTTCTCTAGGTTAGCTCCTAACAGCCTCATTTTAGCCAATCTCTGAGAAAATGTTACTTTTTATTTTTTTCTTAACATAAATGGCAGGTTAAGGAAGTGCTTGAGGCCAATTCACCCTGTGTAACGGAGCTTAACTAGTGAAAGGTTCACAACTGTGGCCTTGAGCTGGCAATGCTACAGAAGAGAGGCAGAGCACCCATGTGGTTAGCCATGCTCGAGCTGGGTGATGCTAAAACTGTATGGCGTTTTATTTTCCCCATCCAGCAAAGACCATCGTTGCTCTGTGCTTCCAAAGTAAAACCCGTCCTCTTCAGCTGTTTTGTGAGTACAGATCAATTTTGCACTCGATTTCTAATACATATCTGGGGTTATTCTTAATGCCCAGTACAGCCCCGGTGGCCTTTGCTCGGAAATGGTACTGAAAATGAGAGAGGCCTTGACAGTGCCGTAAATCACCACCTGGTGACGAG